AAAAAAAAAAAACATTTACCAATTTAACCAAAAGAATTTAGTACTGATATATTTAACCCCAAACTAAGTTCAACTACATGAAACAAACCTAACATGTAAATTCATGAAAAGCAAATTTAAAACAGTTGTCTGGGAAAACGAAGGGCATAATAATTTAATTTTCTCCCTCCATCCAAGTAACTTGCACCTTGTCTTCCTTCCTTACTGTTGCTTGTCTGATTGATAGATGGCACTTTCTACTTCTTCTCAGTAGCATTTAGCCAGCACACAATGCAAACAAAAATAAATAGGATGAAGCCCAATGATTCAAGAACGTATATTTTGGCTTTCCTCCTTGATGAAGAACTATTTTCTGAAGCCGAAGCACTAGCATGTGATCCCGTGGCAACAATTGCTAAACACGTCAGTGACCAAAATAATATAAGTTGAATCAGTTGTCTTCCACTTGTAAAGGCATTACTTTGTGGTCCTTACTTAATTCTCAATTAACATTAGGACGGGGCAAGACTAGGGTTCAGTTAGAAACTAATCATTCAACACATCCATAGCCGCTATGGATGCATCAGTTCATGTTTTACAGCATTGCTTCCTTACTAATATAATCAGAGTGCAGATATACCTACAATCAGATACTCGTTTATAACAAACATGCCTTAATGAGGTCAAATAGAGTGATTGTCCTAAACAAAAATACTACTGACACCTGAATGTTAGGCCACCAAAACATAACAGAAGCAATATCCCAAACAATTTTCTAGTTTCAGGGTTCACGAACATATACCTACAGTAAAATACTTGTTATTGCAACCAAATGCCTCATAAGTGAACATGAGGAGTTCAACTAAGAATACAATCTAAACCTGAATATAAGGCCTCCAACTACTATGTTTTGGCTATAGTCTAATACCAAATAGCACCACTGACTTTAACTTTAATTTAGGACCCCAAATCTAATAGTAGCTCACAATTACAGTTTAGACACAACTCACACTTCTTCAAATGCCTAGAATCAGTAACAACAAATCCAAAACCATCAATGGGCATAATTTAAGCCCGTCAAACCATTTTTGCAGCATTTGAAATAGTTGGGTAGGGTTACTGAACTGGAATCAATAATAACAAAAAAAGTTAGTCACAATATTCACATACCTCGGGCTACCTAGTGACCGTGGCCCATATAGGGTGCACCACCCTGATGCGGCCTGAAGCCACCTTGACCCATCTGCTGTTGGCCACCATAACCTCCCTGCATGCCAGGTTGACCCCCATAGCCACCAGCACCAGTCTGGCCTCCATAACCAGCATTGTTCATCATAGGTAGCGGGGCTCCCTGTGGATTGACTCCTGCTCCAATCCCTCCGAGCAAATTTCCAAAACCCAAACCCGCCCCTTGAGTGGCCAACAAAGCTGCTACAGCCTGCCCAATAGCCTCAGGAGCAACTGCTTGATTAAAACCCGCAGCTGGAATACCCGGTTGTCCTCCACTGGGGGCCATCAAGTGTCCCCCCGCATGACCTCCACCACCGCTCCCACCATATTTCCCCTTCTTTGAGGAATGACCATAATACCCCTGATGGCCTTGGTAATGTTGCTGCTTATAAGGCTGACCAAAATGCTGGTTTGAGTTACTTCCCTTACTGTGTTTGGGGCCATCCACCGCCCTCTGGCAATGAAGAGAATGTCCCTCAAAATTCTTATATGGGTCCTCCAGAGCTTTTCTTGCGCTCTCGAGATTCTTATAAACAAACAGGCAGAACCCTCTGGGTTTCCCAGTCTGTTTGTCCAAACCAAGAGGCCCTTCCTCAATCTCCCCGAATTTGGAGAAGAACTCCAGAAGCTTACTAGGATCGATCTCGGCCGACACGTTGCTCACGTAAATCTTCCTCTGGGTGTACTCAGACACGGGCGGGCCTGATACAGCAGCCATGGAAGCTGGAGCTGAGCCTTGAATGGGCCCGGCGGATGCCAGCTGGCATGAAGCCAATCGACCATCGATTACCTTCTGAGGCTGCTTCAGGGCAC